AGCAGATGGTCGGAAAGTGAAGGTAAGAACTAAATAAGTCTTCCTGGTGTTCCACAATCCAGAAAAAACTAGGAAGCACTTGAGCATGGTTCATTCATATCTAATTTGATTAATTACCAAGTCACTTTAGGCTTGTTTTGTTCATTACTATTGCATATCTCTAAATTCAACCCTTTTGCAAGTTACTCTGATGGTTAACAGGCCAAAAAATTTGATGTGTTTTTATTTTTTTCTGATCTCTTTGCATAAAAGAGCATATACAAGAGAACAATTATTCACAAATAGTTTAGGTATTGTTCGGGGAAGGAGAGCATTAACTGAATACTCACTTGATACCTCTCTAGTTTGATGATAATAAAGTATGACAACAATTGAGGGGAGAATTTGGGTGAAAAAAATGTCAAAACAGAAATTAAAAAGTAGATGAAAAGTCTTCTGTAGGTGAAAATGTTGTGAATTGCTATTTCTAACTGATTCCTTTATGCATCTATAGAGCATCGTAACATTAAGCAATGGTTCAATGATTCATGTCCAAAAATGGCTTGGCAAGGAGACAACAATAAAAAGACAAATTGTAGATGGAAACATGGTAGTGGTGAGTTTTCTGTAAATTGAAATTTTCCGATACTCCTATTTGAGGCATGCTTCTCAAGTTACTCAATTGTTTTACATCCTGATGTGAGAGTCTGGAGAAGGAGGGGTAGAGCAAATTTAACCTTCATGCACCAACTCTAATAGATCCCTCTTTGCTTTTAGGAATATACCATGAATAAAACTGTCAGCACTCGCATTTATGAAAAGGTATGAAGGAAATTTCTACATCAGTGGAAACTTGTTCACTAACGAGAAACTGGGACTTGAAGAAGATATGCCTCAGGGCCATTGATTTAAAAAAATTGTTCAACATAAATTTGCTCAATAAAACCATCAAATTAAGTGCAGTTTTGGAGCTGTGTGATAGCGAGGGTTGGGGACAAGCTGATTAATTGGTGAGGTAAGAAGCGACTTGCTTATTATATGATTATGAGAGCACCAAAGTTCCCCTACCCTCTGTCTACCTGACTTCTATAGTCCTTAGGTTCCCTCCAGTGGACCCATTCCATTTAAGTTAAGGCATTCTGTCAAAGAGTGCTCTGTTGAAATTCCTGTGACCTCAAAGAGGGTCCAATACACTGCAGATACAACCACTAGGAACTACTTTGGGCAGTACAGATGCTGGAAACCAACATGCTGACTTTCTGTTTTTGCAGAAGGCTGGCCCTGCTTATATAGATGGATAGAGCACAAAACACAGCCTGGACATTATACACTGTGGCACTGTGGTTGAATTATTGTAGAAGAACATTTGAAATAATTATTGTCTCACTCGTCCATAAGCCCATTTAAAATAATCAGGCCAGTACACCTGTCACCACTGTTTACAACTTAGTCTTTGCAGAATGACCTTATATTAAATGCCAGTACTGAATGTCTAAGTTCCTGGTAAGAATATAATATCTAGAGCTACACAAAGTCCCTTAATAATTTCATTAACTACTGTTACTAGGAAATACTCTCAGGGTTTAGAGAGAAGAGGAAGAATTATGTAAATACCATGTTGTACCTTAAATTCCAAACTGATAGCAGTCAGTCAAAAATAAGTCGTGAGAGTTAGGTTTAATATGGGCTAAAGTAGAATGTCCATGTAATTTGTTGTCTACAGTGGAAAGGGACTGTATCAATAATTACCCTTGGACAACAGGCAAAAATGGGGACTGCCCTAGGCAAACTGCGGGGTATGGCTGCCTTTGTAGGGATGAAATTGAAAGGTAATCTATAAAACGAATAAGCATGGGAACCAAATCAAGGAAAGTAATTAGGCCAAGGAGAGGATCTAGGATTGTCATATTAAACCCTGAAGACGCCTAAGCACACAGCTGTGCACCTGAAGTGATGGGCTTGGTGGTGGCCACACAGCTGCTGGATGTGGGCGATGACAGGCATTCCCACAGGACTTGGGCCTGTCCTACCTAAAGGACTCAAGTGTGTACAAACTGTGACCACGCTTGCTCCCCAGAGGTCAAAGGGACTCTCAACCCCCAATGTGTCCTTGCACAAAGAGGGACACGGGCCAATCCTTCTTTAATCAGAACACAGTCTGATTGCAAGGGGCGTGCAAATGACAAGCCACTTTAGCAACACCTCAGAGCACAACCATTAGGGTTTCCCACAACCGTTAGGAAGAAGACACTACTCTAAAAAGCACTAGGCACTTACTCATTTAGATCTGTGGATTTACGGAGGCATAATTAAGAAAACAATACTACAGGTCTCAATTTTCAAGACTCATTTCTCTCTTCTTTATGCCACAGCTCAAAGTACAAAGAACTTAAGTGAAACAAAAGCCTTGTGTTGTGTCTTTAGTAGGTAGAATAAAACATACTACTCCTGAGGAAATCATTGACTCAACAAATTCTTACTCTGACAACACATGTTAGGCACAGAGCTCACAACTTTTGATGTTATAAATAGGCTGGCATCTTGAAACTCTACTGCTTTTACTTTTATTCTCAGTCAACGCACGTCAAAATTTCTGTAGAAAAAAGGTCACTGATGCCTATACTAAGAATCATTATTAGTCTTTCCTAAGGACTTTCACATGATCAGTCACTTGGTATATTTGACTTGCCTTTAAAAGTTATCCTATATCTGTAAGTAAATGATAACGTATCTGTCAAGTTGTACAGGATTTATCATTATCTATCTGTAAGTAAATAATAGTGTGTCATATTTGTTAACTTGTGTTGGAAATAATGGAGCTTTTCATTATAGTGAGTTGAGCAATGAAAAGCCATTATTTGTTCACTTTCCGAAAGGGTTTGAAATGAAGGAAGTAATAATAGTTTTTATAAGCCACGAAGGAAAATAACACTGACAAAATAATTTGTTTTGAACCTTCTTAGTGTTTTAATTTTCATAAATTTTTGCATAAAAATGCAATAAACATAAAAGTCCATGCTTTTCTTCACTGGCCTTAAAAATAACTAACTATGCCAAAGATAGTAATCTAGATGGAAAAATTAGGATGAAATATCAGGAAATAACCTAATCCTGAAGTTACAGGTTAAGATTTCTAAATTGAACGTTTAGGGAAAATATAGTTTGCCCATTTTTTAAAAAAAATTTTAACGTTTATTTATTTTTGACAGAGAGAGAGTGTGAGTGGGGGATGGGCAGAGAGAGAGGGAGGGAGACTCAGAATCCAAAGCAGGCCCAGGCTCTGAGATGCCAGCATAGAGCCCAATGGGGGCCTTGAACCCATGAACTAGGAGATCATGACCCCAGCCAAAGTCAGACGCTTACCCAGCTGAGCCACCCAGGCACCCCTGGTTTGCCTATTTTAAAGTCTGATATCTAGATCCTGTGTAAGTTTTGGAGACGGACAAGGCTGGGAAGGAACCATCTAGACACCAGCCCCATGCTAGAATCAGACTTGTCTGTTACCCCAGAGATGCACTGCAGTGAAGTGAAATGAATGGGGTTGGAGAAGCAGTGAGAGCCAATTGAATCCTGCTTCTGTCGTGGACACCTATGTGAGCAAGCGTGAGCTGTTTAACCACTTCGGTTTTCTCCTTTGCAAAATGGAGTCTATTTGCTTTACAGAGCTGTGTAGTTGGAAAATTAGGGTGAAATATCAGGAAACAACCTAATCCCAAACCTACAGGTTCTTAAGATTTCTAAATTGAACATTTAGGGAGAATACTGTGTGTGTATGCATGTATGTCTACCTGTGTGTGTGTGTGTGTGTGTGTGTGTGTGTGTAAATAATACTTTATCTCAAGGCCTTTATACCATCTCAATTATTGAAAACATTTGTAAGACATAATTAAGGAAATAAAGTAGGAAAAAAGGTAGGCTATCTGTGTAATACATGATTAGAAAATCACTTTAACTGTTATGAGTTTATATTTATTCCTTATGAAATAAAGCTAGACATGCTAACGCTTCTCACTATCCTTTGCAAGTGAATTATTTTTCAGGGATTCCTTTCTCCCATCAGCTGTAAGGGAGCAGATGGGCTAAGTCCTAAAAAGTATTTCCTGTGGCTCTTTATGCTAATGCCTGAAAAGTACAGCCTACTTTAATGCTGTGAACGTCACTTTCTCACTAAGAGGAAAAAATGCAAATTGAATAAAAAACTGTGGCCAGCTTAGTATATGCTGTAATGACTAACAAAAGAAGCTGAGATGCAGAAATTATCTTCTATTTCCTCCCCAGTGAATGAGTAACTTTAATTCTCAGGTGTTCTATTAGGAATAATGATTTGAAATCTTAGACTAGATTTTGCAAGAGGCCATGTACGTTACAGTCTAGAAAAAACAAAGCTTAATGCATTGTTTGGAGGAATCAGAAACTACTTCCCTCTCTTTATTGCCATTCAACAAAAGACAAGCTATTAACCACCTTTGAGCAGTGTAAATGTCACAGCAACTGTCACCATAGCAACCAAAAGATAGGATATCCACTGGTGACTAAGGAGCTTACAAGAAATGATTTGCATTAAGACAGCAACTATAATCTCAATATTGTTAAACGTAGAGAAAAACACTCATCTGAAACATGTAATAGGAAGATATCAAGCCTGAAGTGCCATTGTCACCTTCTGTCAAATAGCTGTCTCCGGTGGGGGCACCAGATGCCTTAGTGGCTGAGTTCTAAAGATGAATGAGATCATCAGTCTCAAGGCATCTTGTGTCTAAACCATTTCATAAGGGATCTTCCTACATAATAATGGTTCATTGGCTCTTTAGTGATATCCTCACTACCTCCATCTGCAAATGATAAAAAATAATAATTGGGAAAAAGGAAAATAATAATTGGATATTCTAATATGTCTCTGACCGTTTGTTTAATGTCTGTCTTCCTAACTAGGATATAGGGCCCATATGGGCAGGAACTGTTGCTGTTTCACTCACCACGTACTCTCCAGTGCTACCTCAGTTCAATAAATTTGTGTCGAGTAATTGTCTACATGCATGCAGGTGAGAATATGTACAATGAGTCTTGGAATCAACTTATGTGCACTTTCCTAGTGGTGTGCTATGGTCTTGTCATCCTGGACACGGAAAAAAGTGCCACTAAAAGAGTGACCAGTGAGGGAATGAGTGCTGCCATTAAGTTTCACACTTAGACGTGCCCCACCACCTTTGCTTTCTCCATGCTTCCAGTGTGTGTGAAAAAGGCAAGAAAAAAAAGGCAGGGGAGGGAGAGGAGAGAAGGAAGTTTAGCAGAACAATATTATTGATCATAAGCACCAATTTTAGATGCTTTCATGTTATTTATTATCTGATTTAATGCAAATAATAACCCCTATAAGTAGAAAATTTTGTATTTTCTTCATTCAGTTGGTCAACAAATATTTATTGACTGTCATGTACTTGGGATACTACACGAGTGAAATCACATGTTTTCCCCACTTGTATGGAATCAAGACTTCAGTGGGTGATATACATATTAATCAAATAACATCCAAAATTAATAAAAATTGCCATTGCAGTAACTGTTAAATGATGTTATACAAGAAGAAGTTAAGAAAGATGATTGAATTGAAATCTAAAGGATGTCAACCCAAGGGTAGGAAAATATGATTGAGCTGAGATTTAAGGATTAAACACATGGGAGTGGTTAAACATTCCAGGAAAAGAGTACATACGAACACCTGGTGGAAGCAAGTTGGAAATTAATACTTTCTTTCCTATTCTCTGGAAGATTTTGTGTAAGATTGGTGCTATTTTTTTCAGAAATATTTGTAAGAACTCATTGGTGAAGCTCACAGGCCCAGAGTATCTTTGTGAGAGCAATTTTAACCATAGTGATAATAATGGATTTGGGAGTATTCACATTTTTTACTTCTTGTATTATTTTTGGTAAATTGTGTTTTCTAAGGAGTTTATAAATCTCTTAAAATTTTTTTAACATTTATTTATTTTTGAGAAGAGAGAGACAGAGCATGAGCAGGGAAGGAGAGAGAAAGAGGGAGACACAGAATCTGAAACAGGCTCCAGGCTCTGAGGTGTCCGCACAGAGCCCGACGCGGGGCTTGAACTCACTGACCGTGAGATCATGACCTGAGCAGAAGTCTGACACTTAACCGTCTGAGCCACTCAGGCGCCCCTGTAAGTCTCTTTTAAATCTTAAAGTTTATTGGCATGAAGTAGCTCCTATTATTTTCTTATGATCTTTTAAATTACTGTGTTATATAACCATAATTTTTAATAACTATAGGATATACTGATATATCCTTTTTTTATTCCTGCAATTAATAACTTTTACCCTCTCTCTTTTTAAGTCCATCTTGCTAAAAGTTTGCCAATTTTTATTAGTCTTAAAAATTTTTGGTCTTAGGTGAAAAAATGCCCAACGTCACTCATCATCAGGGAAATACAGATCAAAACCACAATGAGACACCACCTCACCCCTGTGAGAATGGCTCACATTAACAACTCAGGCAACAACAGATATTGGCGAGGATGTGGAGAAAGAGGTTCTCTTTTGCATTGTTGGTGGGAATGCAAACTGGTGCAGCCACTCTGGAAAACCGTATGGAGATTCCTCAAAAAACTAAAAATAGAACTACCCTAGACCAAGCCATTGCACTACTAGGTATTTACCCAAGGGATACAGGTGTGCTGTTTCGAAGGGGCACATGCACCCCCATGTTTATAGCAGCACTATCAACAATAGCCAAAGTATGGAAAGAGTTAATATGTCCATTGATGGATGAATGGCTAAAGAAGATGTTGTGTACACACACACACACACACACACACACACACACACACACACACTAGAGTATTACTCGGCAATTAAAAAGAATGAAATCTTGCCATTTGCAACTACTTGGATGGAACTAGAGGGTATTATGTTAAGCGAAGTTAACCAGGCAGAGAAAGACAAATACCATATGACTTCACTCATATGAGGAATTTAAGATACAAAACAGATGAACATAAAGGAAGGGAAGCAAAAATAATATAAAAACAGGGAGGGGGACAAAACATGAGAGACTCTTAAATGCAGAGAACAAACTGAGGGTTGCTGGAGGGGTTGTGTGGGGGGGTGGGCTAAATGGGTAAGGGGCATAAGGGAGGACACTTGTTGGGGTAAGTGCTGGGTGTTGTACATAGGGGACGAATCACTGGAATCTACTCCTGATACCACTATAGTACTATATGCTAACTAACTTGCTTGTAAATTAAAAAATAAATTTAAAAAATTTAAAAAGAGAAAAACAAACAAATAAATAATTATCAAACAAATAAATGGAAAAGCGCTTCCAAAAAAATTTGGTCTTGATATTTTCTATAACATGTTTGTTTTTATTTTTATCCGCTTTGTCAATCATCTATCTCTATTGACTCTTGTTTCTTTTGCTTTTTGAGCATATTTTCCTGTCTCTCTGTTCTATTTATTTTTGATTGACAACGTATGTGAAAAAATTGTAGAAATAATTTAGACTTATGGTGACATTATCTTCCTTTGCTTCTGGCTGGTAGCGAGGTTCACTGGCTGTCCAGATCATACTAAACTAATTTTGAGAATGGAATTGATGCTAGCACAGGCCTGTTTAATTCACCTTCTCCCCTATGCTGCAACCTCTCAATGTCCCAAACCAAAGCATGATGACGAACCAGGACTCTCCCTCATTGTTCCCCTAACTCTGTAACACAGTTATAAACTTTCTTCAGACTTGTGCCTCTCACTTGCCTTTTGCAGAATTCAGAGATCGTAGAAAGGCAGGGATCTGCCCCAAATATTGGGACTGTTCCTCTGGGCTTTCCTTTTTCACCCAAATCCTAGACCCTTAATTTTTCTCTGCCTTTGTGTAGTTTTGATGCCTTGAAGAAGTTTTTAAAAAATCATCCATCTTTTCTAAGATGTCATAGTTGTAAAGTTAGTTTAATTTCCTCACCTATTATGAGGATGTGAAAATTCTAAGGTCCTCTTTTGTTTTCTCAGTTATTAAAAACATGAACATTTAAAAAATGACCATTATTTATAGTGACCCATTGTTCGACATATTTTTCTTGCCCCCAGTTATGATCCCAGTATTGCTATTTTGCAAATAACTTCAGACTATATACTAATTTTAATATAGAAAGTAAATTCCACAAGGGCATGGGATTTTATTCAATGATGTTTAACCTTGAACAGTGCCTAACATTTAGTAGGCTTTCAATATTTTTTGCAATTAAATGAATGAAAGGAATGGAGTCAGATTTTTGGCACTCAAATGAGTGATCATGAATTCTTTGTTCATTTACCATAGGATGATTGGTTATCACTTTCCCAAATATATAATGGGATACAGCTTGAAGACAATATGTGAGAGATATTTACCTAACATATTATCTAGAGCAAACTTTCTTTATTTTGTTTGGATCTCTGGACATTCTCTTCAGTGTATGATTCAAGTAGCTCCCCTTTTCTTGAGAATTTACATAGGCAATAAATCTATGAAAGGTGAATCCATGCTGTAAACAGACTACATTTAGTTCAAGTATAAATATATGTATCTAGTTATAATGTGGCCCTGGTGTTTATTATCCACTCTGTCACTAGGATATTGATAGCTTTCTTAGGTAAGAGTGACTCAATATCTTAATCCTGGTTTAGTTTGGATCTTCTCTCATTGCTTTGATCTGTGCCTTTGGTTCACATATGAGTCTCAGAATTTTATTTTGGTATGAATATATCTGGTTAATTCTAGCAGTCAGTATATTGCTGATAAGCTAAAATAGAAAATTCTTTTCTTTGTTTAAAATTGCTTCAAAGTTATAAGCCTCGCTAATATATAGCTCAATGTTTACATTTTCAATCCACAGCTATTCCTATAAGCAACACAGGAACTGCCTAAAATTCATATAGCTCTCCTTTATCAGTCACTCTGAATACAAAGGCTCAGCTCAGGTGGGATGGTTTGAGAGTCTCACAGATTTAGGGAGAACACCTAAATGTTGAATATTTAGCTTCACTTCTCAATTAAGTAGGGTAACAAAAATTTTTTTGAAGGCACAAGTGATACCATCATTCATTTTTATTAAGTGTTTTGGTTAAGAAAATAACACATTTGCTAATCAAAAGCCCTTTTTTTTTCATAGCTGTTTCTTCTATTCCAGTACAATATCCTTCCTCCAGTTATATTCTCTTGGGTCTAGGATTGGGTTAGCTGATTAGCTCAGGAATTTTTCTAGTCACTATTTCATTTCCACTTTGAGTTATCCACGCATGAGTAATGTAAGGTGAGGCTTGGAATCACTGTATAAGATTCCATATTTTTGACCCAACCTGGACTCTAACCACATAAGTGCAATGGTTATGGCACAGCTATAACATTTGTAACCTAAACCCTAGAGGCCAGCAATTCTACCTGTTATGAGCAAACTGATCATGGGATATTTCCCCATGATGAATTTCCCACTGTTGTGAATAGTGCCAACCTGTGTACAAATATATAAAACCTAGTAATATCCGTTGTCTTACAATCAGGATTAATGCCAATCTAGAAAACCACTAGGAAAAGGCATGACAGCAAAAAGTATTCCCAAGAGCAACATTTATATTTGAAGTGGTTTTATATCTGCTCCCCCTGGTCAAGACTGAGGCTCTGATGTACCATAGTAGCCTGGATGCCTCATCTCTTGACTTTGTCCTCTACTGATTTGGGGGGTGAGAATGAATGTCTCTATCTAGTCATGGGGATGTCAGTATGATCTGACCTTTGGCCAAGGCCTCGGTGCATATGTGGTATAAAGGGAGCAGTGTCAGATAACGGTCCAGAGTCCAGGCTGGGGAACAATGCAAGTTCAAACCTCCAAGTTACCTAACCTCCCCAAGCTTCAGTTTTCTCATTGGTAGAATAGATGTAATAATAGTACCCAATTCTGGGAGGTGTTGAGGGAATTCAGTGAAATAATCCCTGACAAGCAGTTAGCACAGTGGCCCGTAACAAACTCTCAATATACATTAGTATTATTTATATAGAAAATCCTTCTCTTTATAAAACTGTAGATTCATTTTAAAGGCTTTACATTCAAAGTTGTTATATTAACTAAGAACCTGCTTAATTTAGACTGAAAGGTTTTTTTAGATGAAAATCTTTGCTGCGGTCTAAGAGCGTGTTCTGGTGCTACTTCTTGTCCATCCATGAATACAATTTCTGTGCTCTGTTGTAATAGACTGACCGTATTGTCTGCCCACTCAGCCCGCCTGGGATATGTGAACTATGCCAAGCCTCCCTTACCTATGAATACTTCCTCACACTGGTCCCCTGCATTTCTCTCCCACTACATATTTGAGGCGGATATCACAATACTCATGGACATTTTCCTCCCTTTCTTCTCTTTCAATAAGAATTCTTAATTTTGCAGACTCAGGATTGAGAGTGACCAAGATGCCTAAACACACACACACACACACACACACACACACACACACACACACACTCATTCATGCTCATATAATTCAATTTGGTATAAGATTCAATTCATGGAGTCTTTTCCAAAGCATTAAGGACTAAGCACTTCTTAAAAATGTAAGATTGACCAAAAAAAATTTTTGAAGGTTCAAATAGTACTCTCATTGATCTTTATAAAATTTTTTGGAGACTAAAGGAAACATTATGTGGGGCTTTCTTTTGTCCTAATGGACGATTCATTGCCGAGTCCTGACACTGCTTTTCCCCATTGGGTCTCTGTGAGAGTCACATGCTTTGGACATCTTTGAAAAGAATCTTCTGAGGCTTCAGCATCTTATTTGAATCTCCTGAATCTCATCTAGAACTGTGTTGAATTCTCATCCATCGCAATGAGCAACAGATTCCTGGGCACCTGGAAACTCGTCTCCAGTGAGAACTTTGATGATTACATGAAAGCTCTGGGTAAGAAATGTTTTTGTTTTTCTGGTTGAGAAGATCATTTTTGAGAAAGCTGCATGACTATTTCCTTTTAATTCCTTTTCCAGGACTCTGGGAAAGTACAATCCTTTTCTGGAATTAGTCTTCTATTATGGAATTCAAATAATTTATTTGCATTCTGCTTGTGGATATTTTAATAGATTTTAACCTAAATAAGAGCTGCTTAAATACATGGAACTTCCACTGATTTCAAGAGTAGTTTCATATCAGTAGGGCTTTGCTTTCAGAACTAGAGGAAAGAAATCTTAGAGACTTAGTCAACCCATCCTCTGGCTTTTCTGAAGGTTAGTTTTATAACAACTGAAGTGCTCATAAAATAGGCAGTTGAATATACTAAAATGAATAGAAAACCTCAATCTAAAATTTTAGTGTTTAGCTAAACCAGAAATTTACACTAATTTCAGACTTTCCTGGAATTGGAGCAGTGGATGAAGATGGAAAATCCAGTCATTTGTTGTATCAGCTTTATTTTATACTAATTCTAGGGAGTGTTTGGGGCACCTGCATGGCTCAGTCAGTTAAGCTTCCGACTTTGGCATAGGTCATGATCTTGCAGTTTGTGAGTTTGAGCCCCACATTGGGCTCTCTGCTATCAGCCCAGAGCCCACTTTGGATTCTCTTCTCTCTCTCTCTCTCTCTGTCTCTGCCCCTCCCCTACTCTCTCTCTTTCTCCCTCTCTCTCTCTCTCTCTCTCTCTCTCTCTCTCAGAAATAAATAGTAAACTTAAAAAAAAAAAAAGAGAATGTTCCATATGAGCACAATAAGTTTGAAGAGTCTTTGGAAATTTCCAGAGCTGTGTAAATATAATAGAAACTGATGTCAAATGACCCAGGTTGCCATGTTTGTCAAAGTGTCTGTAGCCTTACTTAACTGTTCAGAAAGCTTATGAGAAAGATTCTATTTTTAGGTAAAATGAGCAAAATCATGTTATGTTGCCTAGAAAACTATGAGAACCCATCGGGATAGATCCATACTACGAGGTTGGTTAGAGTTATGGACGTGACCTAATATCTGAGGAAGAAGCAAAATACAAGAGTCTCAATGAAGGACTCCCTAAGTATGTCATTTTCAAATTTAGAATGCATAAGATCACCTAGGGGTTTGGTAAAGTATAGATTCTCAGACTCTACTGCAGAGATCATATATATATATGTATATATATATATATGTATATATATATATATGTACATATATATATATGTATAGACATAGACATAGACATCTATTATGAAACATAACAATTCATATATACACGTACAAGCAAAACTAGTTTTTCCTTCATGTATTCTCTCATTTGACATTTCTTTTCCATGTATTTCTATAGCCTTAGTAGTAATAGTAATAAAACAGGAATCTAGTTTTGTTTTCTTTTTCAGATACAGAAAATTAAAAAAAAAATCAGTTACCTGTGATCATTTGCAATGGTACAGATCTTGAAGAAAAATGGAAAGTTTTTTCTTACAAGCTAAACTTAAGGGCCAGAAAAAAAATTTTCAGAAATGAGATTCTATTAAGGATGTGGAGGCTTTTCTATATCCACAATATTACTGAGGGTAAAAATCATAGAACAGTGTATATCTGTCACAGTCTCACTTAAAATATACCTATACTATTTATAAGTAAAACCAAAGTGTCCAGAATGATCCACAGAAAATATTAGTGATTTTCAAAGTCAGTGGGATTGGATGTGGTAAAAGTGGATAAATTGCACTATTTAGGCTGAACGCTTTTACTTAAAATCTGGAGACGTTACTTTTGTAATAATAAAACCTCAGCTATTTAAGTCTATGGACATGTATTTCCACGAGGTGGTTAAACGTGGGAGGAGGTCCTTGGTAGTGAGTGACAGTACCTGCCATCTCCACACCTGAGACACAACTGAGCGTAAAAGGTGGCCATTCAGGGGTCCCTGGGTTACTCTGTCAGCTAAGCATCCAACTCTTGATTTTGGCTCAGTCATGATCTCACAATTTATGAGTTAGAGCCCACACTGGGCTTTGCATTGACAGTGAGGAGTCTGCTTGTGATTCTCTCTTTCACTCTCTCTCTACCCCTCCCCACTCATGCGCGTGCTCTCTCTCTCTCTCCCTCAAAATAAAAAAATAAACTTAAAAATAAAAGAAGGTGGCCATTCATAGTCTCTCTAGGTATATCTCTTGGTCAACATAATTCTAACACTATCTTGATTTTCAGGTGTGGGGTTAGCCACCAGAAAACTGGGAAACTTGGCCAAACCCCGAGTGATCATCAGCAAGAAAGGGGATATTATAACTATAAGAACTGAAAGTACGTTTAAAAATACAGAGATCTCCTTCAAGTTAGGCCAAGAGTTTGAAGAAACCACAGCTGACAACAGGAAAACAAAGGTAAATTTTAATGTTTCTCTTCAAAGTTGGATCAGTCTGTGGCTCAAGAGGATTATTCCTATTAGTGTTCAAAAGGGTAGACCTACTTCATTCCACTGAAAATGAATGTGACTTGGGGGCACTGGCTAGCTCAGTCACAAGGCTCTGGATTGTGAGTTTGAGCCCCACGTTGGGAGTGGAGCCTACTTAAAAAAAAATAAAATAAGGTAAAAATAGAAAAATGAACGTACCTCGTGAGACATCTATTATGAAAACAATTCAATACTGAATGAACGGCTTCTTTAATCAACCAAAGTCCAAGCAACTTGATTATGGGAACTTGTCTTTGCAGAGCACTGTAACCTTGTCAAGAGGCTCATTGAATCAAGTGCAGAAATGGGATGACAAAGAGACAACAATAAAAAGAAAGTTGGTGGATGGGAAAATGGTAGTGGTAAGAATATTTTCACTTCTAAATACAAAAATAATGCTATTTAAATAGAGAAACTGGTTATATATTTGTTTCGAAATATTCTTTTTTTTCCCTTTGCAATACAAATAGATAAAAATGGCTAAGAATAAAGTCAGAGTTAATGATTAGGTGATGTTTTAACCATGAAGACTCAGCGATAAGTACTTCAAGTATAGGTCCAAGGTTTTAGAAATAACAAAGCCCATTCATTATTTTAGAAATAACACCTAAAATAATAGTAAAGTCAAAAAAGTATGTATAAATATCACCAGTTTGGATTCACAAAGAGAAAAACAAATCTAAGTTTTAAAAGCAAAGTATTCCTGAACAGCTCAATTATAAAATATTTGTAGCTAAGTGTGTTGCTTTCAAGAATCCAAAGAACTTGAACTAAACCAGGGCAATAATTTAAGCTCAGCTCATAGGAAACCCTTTAGTTAGCAGATAAGAATGATGACCAGGGTTGCATGGGATGGCCTTTAATGATTTAAGTTTTTGCTTCTGTGCTTACTAATACATACAGTGAATATAAATTCATGTAATTTTAAATGTTTTTTTTTTCCCTGTAGTTTAGAGATTCTTATCCCTACCTACAACATAGATTTAGATGGGAAGCGAATACCAATATATGGCCCCAACACAGATCAATTAAATGCAAATCTCTGGGAGGGGAAGAAGGAGCCATCAGTATTTTTAAATGTTCCTCAAATGATGCAGATATGCATACAGTTTTGAAATCCACTTTTAGTAGAGTCAAATGCATGCAAATTATGCATAAAAACCTGCCACTTTAAGAAAATTCTTCTATAGTAACATAGATTGACTTCAAAACTGTTTCTCCTATTTCAATTATTATAATTCTGAATTGCTGGAGACTGACACATTGATATTCTATTTCTTTCTAAGTTTAATGTTCTGAGCTTGTTTTTATTTTCTGTTGCTATTTGCAAATTTGCCGTTTTCTAGTTTGAGTTTTAGATACTCAATGAATCTCTCTCTTTTCTTAAGGAATGTAAAATGAAGGGCGTGGTCTGCACCAGAATTTATGAGAAGGTCTGAGAAAATCATTTCCTCATTGAAGTGGCATTTGATCATTTGATGTTGGAAATCAACGGTTTTTGTTGGCAAGGCCCAACTACACTGCAATTTGTTTGTTTTTGCTTTTGTCTTAATAGATCAGAGAGGTAAAGGTCTAAACTGAGGATTAATCTAAAATTCAGTGTTGTTGAAACATTTTCGATTTGCATGCATTTCCTTACTGTATTAAAGTATGTATACTGGCCACACCTAAATACTTGATAACGTCATTTAGTGATCTGTGAAATTCTAACTTATGTTGTACTTTGTGCATCGAAGTGCAAGTAAAGCAAGTAACTGGATAGTAAAAGGAAGTAAATGTATTGATCGGGGTAGCAGGAGCATAATGGGAAGAGGATCAGAAGCGAGACAAACTACAAGGAAAGGATTTAAGTCAGAGTTCTATCCCAGCGAAAAGGGCAGCCTCTACTCAAGCCAATTGTTTGAAAATTGAGGGGTAATTTATGGACAATGAAATGCACAGATATTAAGGGTAGAATTCAAGCCATTGTAACAAACGCACGCACCCATATAACTCACATCCCGATCAAGATAGTGGTGCCTTTCCTTAATCCCAGAAGGTTTGCTCATGCCTCTTCCCAATCACTGTCCCGCCCTGTCCCATTTCCACCAAAAGCAAGTAGCGATTTGGTTTCTATCATTTGGTTTTGACATTATACTTTTCTTTCATGTTTGGGTTTTTATACAAAGAATATTATTTTTAATCCAAAAAAGTATACATTTTTAAATGAAAAGGTAACCAGGAAAATTCTTAAAATCTTTTTTTCTTATTTTTTTCTAATGTTTATTTATTTTTGAGAGAGAGAGAGTGTGAGCAGGGGAAGGGCAGAGAGACAGAATCCGAAGCAGGCTCCAGGCTCTGAGCTGTCAGCACAGAGCCCAACACAAGGAGACTTGAACCCTCGAACGGAGAGATCATGACCTGAGCCAATGTCTGATGCTTAACTGACTGTGGCACCCAGGTGCTCCTTAAAAATCTTAAAAAGGATAACAACTGCTTCCATTCTACGCAGTATGAGCTAATCACTTTGTGCATGTGGACGTAATAGTACTCATCTGTAACCACAGTGCTCATACTTTTTTTGCATTCTGCTTTTTGTAACTTTCACAAGGATTCTTCCACATTTCAACTAATGATATGCCATAATTTATTATGGTTCTATAATACAACTGTTCTATTTTTATGTTATGCCCAGTTTGGAGTTATTACAGATTATTTTGCAAAAATTGCCTTCATGTATATATCTGACTGTGCCGACTACTTTTTCTAGGAGAGGGATCACTAAATCAAAGACTATAGAAAACCTGATGGGTTCTTAGTAAATATTTCTGCATTGCTTTCCTGAGCATTGTCACTAATTAGCGACAATGTAACCAGCAGTACACACATATAGGACAATGTATGAACACACATCCTAGGCTAATAATAACAGCTACCAAATGTTATATATGTACTGTGTGCCAAGTTCATTTACTCTCTATCAGATGATTTACATGTCATGTTGCCGTATTTAATATAACTTCACACAACAACCCTAGCAGGTAGATCTTATTATTATTCCCACTTTATGAAAGAGGAAACAAGTGTAGAGTAACTTGTGCAAAATCACAAAGTGATAGAGACAGGATTTGCCTCTGTCTGACGAGAGGCCAGTTGCTAAACCTTTATTTTGCCTCCTTGGCAACACCTCTCTATTAGAAACATGTCTGTTTCTTGTAGTATCTCTAAAGGTGTGCCATTAGAGATTATTTTTGCCTGTTCTTGGATTTCATATAAATGGAATCATACATTATGTGTTCTTTCTGTTTGCCTTTGAAAACTCAGCATAATGCTTTTGAAATCCATCCATATTGTTGCATGCATTAGTAGTTTGCTCTTTTTATTGCTAAGTAGTATTCTATTGCATGAACATATCACAGTTTGCTTATCCATTCTTCTCTTAAGATAACTGGCCTATATCCAGTTTTTGGCCATGATGAATAAAGCTACTATAAACATTCTGGTACAAGGCTGTTGGTGGACCTCTGAGTTCCTTCCTTGTATAAATAGATGGGCAGAGAATTACTGGGTCCATTTGATTTTTCACAGGCAGGAAGTGTGACTGCTGTGCCCAAGTAATAATGAAACTATTTCAGATGTATTGTATGACTGAGCGAATGAGAAGTGTGTTGATGTTGTTAGGGGCCAGGATTTCACTGTGGAAGAGGAACATAACGAATGAGGGGGGCAGGCAAGAGAGAATCATGTGAGAATGGATTGGAACAGATGTAAATTTATGGTTTCTAAGGCATGCGTATATTTGTCCATATGTGTGTTAATTGTACATGCATACCTGCATGCATTTATGTGTGCGTATATACACATATTTATGTGTATGTGTATATACACCCATATATTTCCTAGCTCAATCTGCCCAAAGAGCTTAGAAGCAATGACACCTCAGTAGGAATGAGCCCACTTAGTGCCCAGACCTTGGTGACCAATATCATTTCCTACTAAAAGGAATGAGGATTCCTTGGAGAAACAACTAATTCTAATGGGATGTCAGGGTAGGTACAAGATGAGCCTGAAATATTTTGTTATACCAGAAAGTAAGGAAGTGTTTTAAAAAAAATAATAGAGGCAAGCCACCAAAACATGGAAGCCAGCTTGGAGGTGCTCTCCTTGGTAAAAACTGGGACAATTTGAAAAATAATTGCGAAAAATAATAACTTATAAATCATTGAAGGAAAAATAAGGATCTATGAATCCATAATGATAATAGGGAGAAAGAGAAGAGTGTCCCTTACATCAGAATGCCATTGGCTGACTGGTAAATATGGAAGGAGTGTTAGAAATGGAAGTCATCATTATTCAACCATCACTGTAAATATTGGCTCAGGCAAGAATTGCCAATGAATGCTAAATCCAGAGGGAGATTTTGATTAGGAGGATATTCATTTGGTAAGAAACTATCTTAAGAAAGTATCTCTTCACAGATTGATGATTAGTTATGAGGGGAAAAAAAGTTTAACTTCGCAGTGGAAAAATTGGATAACCCCTTGACTGGGTAATCACCCCTAACATTACCAATGAGGGGCAGAAGAACATGTGCCTTCAAAATTGATACCCTGAGAATGAACATCATTTATGTAGTATTTCAGCCTGGAATCCTTATCTGGATCTAATCACTGGGAAAGATCAGACAAATTCCAAATGAGGAACATTCCCAAAAAAAGAGGAGGGTGGTGTCGGTTGAATTCTTCAAAAACATCATTGTCATAGAAGACAAAGAAAGGCTCTGTGGAATGTTCTAGATTAAGTTACATTCAGAATATGTTATGACTGAATACAGTAAGTGATTCTAGACTAGATCCTGTACTAGAGGTAAAACAAATGCTCCAAAGGACAATATTAGGTTAGTTGGTCAATTGAAATACAAATGGTAAATTAGGTTTGAAGTGTGCTGTGTTTATGTAAGAAAATATCCTTATTCTTGGGAAATACACACGAAGAATTTGGGGGGTAATAGGCCATTATATATGCAATGTACTTTTTAAAAAAAACTCAGAGGAAAAGTATGTGTGTTTGTGTGTGTGCACACATTTAGTACATACACCCATGAAGAGAGCAACTGATAAAGCACACAGGGTAAAACTTAACCTGACTAAAAGCTACACGTGTTTTCTTTGCAATAGTTTGATTCTTGCAACTTCCCTGCAAGTTTAAAGTTATTTCCAAACAAAATCCTTAAAAAAAAAAAACAACAAACCTGCCCTTGGCAAGTCTTCTTCTGTCTCTGGGCATTCGGTCAACACATGTCTGAGAAACATCATAACTGAGGTGTGTTTATTTATTTATTTATTTTGGCTCCAGCTAGAGAAACCCATAAAAAAAGGAGAGTTTTTAAACTGGTGCTATTTTTAGAGGTTGTAGTAATGTGACTTGCAATAAAATGTATTCCTCAATAAATATAATTGCTCTATTGTCCAAAAAGCACGAGCAGTTTCTGTTTTCATAACAGTAACGGTGGAGTTGTGCTGATAACGAGGAAGACAAAATAATCGTCTCAGCAGGTGATACGTGTTGCTAGATTTGGAAAAGATTTTCAAACAACCAGAAGTGGGGGGAGGGAGCGAGAGCTCCGCAGTACTCAAACATGGTCTCAGAATATAATTTTGATTCTCAATTCTTTTTGATAGAACAAAAAGCTCTTGCCAATATAACATAGTGGCTAAGAGCAATCAGACTGCCTCGTTCAAGTTCCAATTTGCTGCTTACTAGCTATGTGTCGTTGGGCAAGTTACTTAACCCCCGTGTCCCTCAGTTCCTTCATTGTAAAACTGGGGATAATAATAGAACATATCTCAAAGAGTTGTGAGGAATAAATAAGTATATGTAATGTGCTTGGCACAGGAAAAGCATTAGAGAACTGTCTTTTGTTATTGTTGTTTACTTAGTAACAAACATGATGTTAAAATAGGTCATTTTATTATACCTCAAAATGAAGAGAATTCACAAGATCTCAAGATCTCAGAGCTGTTGATATTGATTTGCACACCAACTGGCTAAATTTACTAAGAATATTATTTACACCAACATAAAAACAATCAAGAGACCCACTTACTAGCACACTACTGCCTAGAAGTAGCATGGTACTTAGATTTTATCAATGACAGTGTTAGTTTTATGTTGACTGTAATATTTCTAAGTTTTGACTAAAGATTTACTTTGTAATTTCTTAAAAAGTTGCTCTGGCTTACCTTTAAAAAATATTCCTTCTAAACTAAGTGGAACCTCTCTAAATACGGCTGCACATTAGAATCATCGGGAAGTTTTTAAACATCCCATTGCCAAGATTGTAACACATACCCACTTAGTCATAATCTATGGGTAACGGGTGAGACCCAGGCATTAGTAGTTTTCCTAAAACGCCTCTGGTGATTTCAACGTGTGGCCAGTTTGAGAACCGTTGTGCCAAAGTCTTCCAAAGGTGGAAATTTGATGTAGGCTATTATCATGTTGCTATCAATTAAAATGGAGTGAAAGGTAATCAAAGTCAGGAGTACCAAATGTCCCCAACGTGACACTAAGTAACAAGAGGTAGTGAAAATACTATGGTAAAATCAACTCAGATATAATCAAGTCTTTTGTTTGGGAAGCAACTGTCTACTTCTTATCTTTGTTATTTCCACAGAAGTTAACGCAATTGGCCATTATC